CGTCAAAGAAGCCGATGTTTATTATATTGCAAATAAACTATACGTAGGTATAGTACGAGAAATTTATACAGTGACGGGACGTGCGGGGTAAGACGCTACATGAGGGAGGGAAATGTCTAACACATGATATCTTCCGTCTTTTACACCGCTTACATTAAAGCGAGAAAGATAATTGTTGTTTTTGTTGGCACGCGACCGAGGCGGAGTTTCACTTACAATCTGTTATAGTTCAGGTCCGCACTTAATTTTGTTACCGTTTATTTTAGCATAATAATTTTATATCAGTTTATTTGCTGGTGTGTTTTTGAAAATAATTTAAGGTTATCGTATTTAATGTAAAAATGTTTCGAACGTCTACATCTTATTGGGTTTGTGAAAATGGAATTGATAGTGATTACAGTGATAAAACAATTCAAAGTTCAGCATTAAAAATCGGCTACATTTGAACGAGCAAGCGAAACAAATTTGCTTTAATGTTTACAATAATCTTTTGAGCGACGAGCTAATGACCCTAATTTGTATGATTTAGATGTACTAGGTGAAACAGCATCTTTGACTAACGTTCCCCGTCCCACAATACACAAAGTGGTGAAAGAAGGTGTCCTTTTAAGAAAACAACGATCCGACATCGGTCAAACGAAAATTCTAGACCCATCATTAGCAAAACTTTTAAATACCTTAGTTTACGACGCGGATCAGAAAAATGAAATCCCAACTATTGACGTGGTATTTTTAATTAATTTAATTAAAAGAAATGGATTATCATCTAAAATATACCAAAAGAAATGTAGGAACTTGGATTTAAATATCAAACTATTAATAAACGTATGGCGATTATGGAAAGCAGACAAATAGTGGATTGGCGAGATTAATATTTAAAAGAGAGAAAACAACTCAAAAGGGAAAATAGGCCAATTTATTACCTAGATGAAACTTGGTATGATATTCATGACACAGTAAAAAAAGGATGGACTGATGGATCTAGGAAATGTTAACCAATCTCATTGCCCCCTAATAAAGGAACTCGGTTGATTATATTACACTGTGGATCAGTTGATGGATGGGTTGATAATGTATTGAAACTGTGCGGAAAAAACATGGAAGACTGTAACGTGGATTACTACAAGAACATGGAGGCAGAAATATTTGAGGAATGGCTTGAAAATACCTAATTCCAAAATTAAAACCGAATAGCATCATTGTTCTTGACAATGCGAAGTATAGTATTTCCAAAATCAGTTGGAACACTATAAAAACGCCGACAAAGGAATTTAGAGGCCCGACAAGGGCATTTACTCATTTAATGGACAAATTCCTTTGTCGGACTTTTTATAGGATATACTATACCATTCGAGACAATTGTATAAAGATCTTAACATGACTTCTACTAAGCTGAAGTTACAAATTTTTTTAATGGAACATAATTTCTATTATGAGGAAAATTATAATAATGCACAACACTTGGAGGTCCTGCAAACGAAATATTATGAGAAAAATTAAATCATAGACACTGTACCGGAGAGATATGACCACAAAGTGTTGAGATTACCGCCATATTTCTGTATTTTCAACCCGACTGAATTAATTTGGTGTAAATTGAAGAAAAATGTCAGAAAAGGAAATACTTTTCCGAAATTCGATAAAAAAATCGTAGAGTTAATTCAAAATGAAGTGTCGAAAATTAACAAGGAAGATTGGGAAAAGAGAATTAGGAAAGTAATTACAATTGAGGATGATTATTTAAAAATTGCTGAATGTCATATAAATGGTGAAAATAAATTTATTATAAATTTGAACGAGGATAGTAGTTCATCTGAAAATTAAAAAGAGGGTGAGAATGGCGAGGATCCGATGTGTGATGAGGTAAAGTGATGTGAAGTGATGAAGTAAATTTTGTGATATCAACTGTATTATTTATTGCCGTTTTTGTGCTTTCGTAGTTCAGTGCTTGAGATATATTCTTTTTCAGGATGTTATTATTTGTTAATATTATTTTTTTTTTTTTCATTTTGGCAAAAATACGTCTTTCTGTTTTTATTATAGTATTAGGTATTAGGTTTCTTGTGAGTGGGTCCCTGTGGACCCTCCACTGCGACTAACTTTAGGCTGAAAACAGACGAGGCGTTTTGTGCCGAGTCGGCCGCCGATTCTGCAGACGAATCGTCGTTTGCTTCACTCATTATGAATGTATTAAAACAGACGATACGTCGGTGATGAATGTCACCGCCTACGCGACGAGCGTACGGTGTTCCCAACCATGTGCCGAAAGCGTTTTTATGACTTTAAGCGGCCCTTCATAAATGTACTAATTCTTGTGCAACACAGACACCGGCGGTTTTTGATCGGTACGTATACTGCATGGTTGCCATTTGACGTGATTTTAAAATTATTTAATTATTTTAGTGACAGATATGGAAATAAATATCGAACAATTAATACATGAAATTTAATAGTTCATTAAAAGATGTCATAGACATTCTGGCGAAATTAAAAACTTCTCATCGACTTCTTTGACTTCATTGTACAAAGTGTAAAAGTATTATTATTTTTTCTTTCACTAATAATTGGGTGTATCCACATTTTACGATTCTTTTTATTAACACGCTTTTATTAGCTTCACCTGTATGTTTGTTTGTTTGTTTGTTTGTTTGTTTGTAACCGACTCTTTGGACTCGATTTTGACCCACTTTAAACGGACAGATTTAATTGAAACTTTGTACACTTACGAAGAACCGGTAACAATACAATAATTTGATAAGTTTATATCATTATCCTGATCAGGATCGCCAGTCCTTTCCTCACGTATCCTCTGCGTGAGAGCAAGAGGCTTAATATTGTAAGTATATTCCATGATTCTCAGTTCGGTCGTTGGCCGAGCGGGCAAGTCTTAGTCGACGCGAAACGACGGACTCCTCGGGCGTGAGTTCAAATCCCATGGCTGAAATAAAAAATTATTTTTTTTTCAGAAATATCTGTTGGATTGTAATATGTTATAATATCAACATCAATTGGAGTGCTCTAGACCGGGCGAATGGATGTATAAATAAGACGCACGGTGGGCCGAGACTTAATCTTAAGTGAAACGCGAGCGAGTAAAGAAGAAATACGAAAAAGACATAAGTTATAAGTGTTCAATTGTGATTATAATTATGTCAGTTATTAATCTATTGTTGTTAATTGTTAATTAGTAAATAAAGTAATGAGTAAGTGTTACCTGGACTTTCAATCAACGAATCTACGAGTATAGGTGTTTGTGTGGATAGCAGACACGTAACAATATTAATCGAACTTGAATACTGTATGTGTAGTCAATACTTTAAATTCAATACTTTTATTTCAAGTTAATAATTTTTCCTACAATTGATAAATTGTTGCTATTTAAACTGAGCACAAAAACCTACATTGAAAAAGCAAACGAGCGATACAGATAAATTCGGCTCTGCGTGCTGTATCGTCTTACCCCGCACGTCTCGTCACGAAAGCGGTTTCTCCTACTATACTCGAAATACACATATACAATATACGTCATTTTACTATCACTATCACTAGCATAGCCTAATTGATTCGATTACAACAATGTTCCAGTAGAGCAATAGTAACCAATATCACCATGTTTTTAAACAAAATAAATTCAGACATTTCCTTAGTATGTTGAAAATAAAACCTGTCAAATATACCTTTCTATTCAATTGTTTCACTTCACACCTTGCTTCACACACACTACACAGGTATCCAGCAAAGTAAAATTTAATGACAGCATGTGTACTACTGAGAGTACCAAAGTCCTGTTGGGTCCTGTGTAAGTCCTACCAGGCAGTGGCGGCTCGTGATATTGTCCACAGAGGAGGCTTGAAATTTAAAAGGCTACTAAATTTCAATCTGATTACAATTTGCACATTTCGTCACCACCCTTGAGGTAGTACAACGGCGCGTAACATTTCTTTGTCGTGGGTTGATCGCCAGAGTAGCCCTACTATCCCACTTATAAATAAATTATAACTTCTAATAAAAATCAAAATAGTTTTGGAAAAAAATTGATAATTAAAAGTGTTTTTCTACAAACAAAAAATTGTATTCATTATCACTGCCAGAGTGTAAAATTATTACTTTAGAGAAAAATTAAAATTGTTTTGACAAAGAAGTTACATAAAAAATATTTTTTAAAAAATAAATAACGTAAATAAATTTTTTCATCTAAAATAATAACTAATTATATTGATCTTTGGTGTAGTCTAAATATTTTTTTAAATTAGTGGTAACCTGCGTTTTTCAGAACTAGCAAAATGGTTGATTACTTCTTCATAAAATGAAAATAAATCATTTTTTTTTCTACTCTGACAAAAATCGTTTTTCTGTTGAAATAAGCGATATATTTGACAGGCGGTTTTGACCTATTGTGTTTCTAGTAAATGTTTTTATGCGTTTGAGTGCTGAAAACGATCGTTCTACAGAAGCTGAGGTTACCGGAATTGTTGACACTAAAGATAAAAGTTTGTACAGTTCGGAGAGACAGCTTTTTAAATTATTATTATATATAAAAGTAAGCATTTCTTGAGGCGATTCTGAATTTGCTAAAAGTTGCTGGTGAAAATACAACACACAGTTCATTCCTTAACGAAATACGGTTAAAATAGGGATACTGGTCCATTAATTAGTCCATTAGACTGTTACGAAATGATTTAGAAAACATTATAAAATTATTAGAATTTACTAAATCGAAAAATTGCAAAGTACTTAAATCGGAAAATCTAATTTAAATTTGAACTATAATGGTGTCCAAAATTTCTGTAAAAATTTATTTGTAATGATTGTCAGTCCTGTTAAAGTCATATGTTGTCTTTCTTTTTTTTAACTGTGGCTCATCATCTAATTCTTCAATATTTTCTAAAAAACCTTTATGTATAAAGTATTGAAAAGTATTTCGGTAATGCGAAATTCTTTTAATTTAGATATATGAATTAAGTCTATTTTTAGAATATGTTATATCAGTTGGTATCAGGGGCATGGTAGCCGAGTGGGTAAAGCGCTTTACTTGGTACGGAATATCGATGGTTCGAATCCATCCCCGAACAAATAATTTTATTTGTAATTTGTTTCAGATTAAGATGGAAGAGAACTGTCGATGCCCTAGATGTGGTTCGGATTCCACAATAAACTGTAGGTCCTCGTCTTTCTTTTCCCAACACAAAATCCTAGGATTTTCTGGGAGTTACCTCGGTGACTTGAGAGGCGGTTAAGAAAACATTTTAAGAAAATATTTTCAAACATTTTAAGTTAATTTATTTTGTAAAATTTGGAGAACAACATCAGTTTGCTCAAAAATCATTTCAAAAACCTTTAGAAAAAATATGAGGTTTTTATCCAACAATAACGATTTTTATCCGTAAGCTGCTCTTAAAGTCTGATCGTTATTTAAAATGTCTTCGCTTTCCGAAATAAAGTTAAAAACATCAATAAGTTTTTTCCTATAAATTTTGCCTTTAATAATGAAGCTAACACTCTCAATTAGGTCATTTTGAATTGATTTAGATGTCCCGGAAAAACAGTGGCGTATTTCAAAAAGTTCTCTAATTTTTGATCATACGTTTTTAAAAAATCTATTAACTCCTTGAAATGTCCTTTATTATACGAACCGCGTTTTTCGTCATGTCGAAAAGAATTTTTATGAGAAGATAAATACATAACAGCATCAATTAATCTCTTCAATATTTCCCTGTTTTCCGGACTTTTTCATTAAAATTTTCTATTTCTCTTTTATGCGCAGAATCCAAGAAATTTACAATATTTTGTTTACCCAACATTTCGAATTTAATGCAAAATGAAATATGCACCTGAGATTTTTCATGCCTTTCTAAACCTCGCGACAAATTTTGCAAATTATTAAACCCGGCCCTGCCCCAAATTGACGATTGATCATTAGTAAATAACAAACATTTCGAACAATATAATTTGTTTCTAACTGTTGATGCCGTTAACTACTCGATTTTTTGATAATTGCTATCACTAAACCCTCTGTTTTGTTTAATACTTGTGAAAACTAATGACGGCATTGACGGTGTAGGTCTGACAATTTTTTTTAATTCTTACCTCTTGATCATAACTAAGAGAACTAAATCCATTTAACAACAAATAATCCACCACGTCTGGACAACAAGACATGTCGTTGGGAATATTTTCACCTAGAGCACTCATTTTTCGCCGCCAATATCCATTTGGCATGATGACGGTCTCGGATGCTAGGGCCAGGCAGGACTATTGCCTTTTTACCCTAGTCATCGCTGTAGACCTGGACCGGCCTCGTGCAGGGCGGGTTAACTTACTTTACGAACGGCCCCACTCACAAATGTGAGCGGTGCCGAAGATTTCGGTCAACCTCCCTGGGTCCTGGCTGATGAACCCTGCTGGCTAGGGCCTCTTCTGGCGCTCTTCTGTCTTCGTCTTCTTTCTTCGCCAGCTTGTCACCCCCGGGGGTAGTCATCTGTCTGTCAGGGACTGTGTGGATATTCTGTGACTTGGGATTGACTGCCAGTACACAAAGTGTCAATTGACACATTGTCATCTGGATCATCGGACAAGGTGAGGATGAACTGTGTAGCTCTAGGAGGTGAAGGCCTAAGTGCTTTCTTAGCACTTTCGTCCTTCACGGAGCCAGGGGGACAACGGGCACTGGTCGGTTTACTGACCGGCGCCCGCAAGGTTTGTGGGAGGGTGGTTGGTCGTGTCATGTCTTTTCAGTGGGTTTGGTCCATCTGTAAGGAAAGGATTAGTTATACTTACCCGTTATCCAGTAACTGTACCTTCGGCCTCTTGTGCCTCGGTGCGTCGGCCGGATCATAGGAGGTGGCCTCCCTGATCAGCGGGTTCCTGTGCTCCTCAGCTAAGGTGTACAGTTTCTTCGCTCTATCCCGGATGATTTCGGTGACTGGTGTGTACTCCAGGTCCCTGAAGATGTCAGCGTTTCTAACGTACCATGGTGCGCCCACCGCTGTCCTGATGGCCACGTTTTCCACGGCTTGGATCTTCTTCAGATAGGTCTTCGCTTGGTATCCCCATGCTACGGAGGCGTAGGTCAGCTGTGGTCTGATGAGTGCTTTGACTAGCAGAAGCTTGTTCCTCAGACTGAGCCTGCTCTGGTTCCCTACCATCGGGTAGATGAGAGCTCTCGTCCGCTTGGCCTTTACCACGATGGCTTCGGTGTTCTGTCTCCATGTCAGGCCTTTATCCATGATTACGCCAAGGTACTTGACGGAATCGTGCCATTGGATGTCCTCGCCGAACATGGAGACGTGTCCTGTGGGGGGTTTCCTTGCGTCCTTTCCTGAAGAGAATCGTCTGGCTTTTCTCCGCGTTGACTGCGACTTTCCACTTGATACACCATTCTTCCAGAAGAGAGGCTGCCTCTTGGAGTCTTCTGGTGGCTGTTCCCGCTCTCCAGGATCTGGCCGTGACGGCCGTGTCGTCCGCGTAGAGTGCCATTGCGGTGCCTTCGGCCCTTGGGAGATCAGAGGTGAAGACAGCGAACAGATGGGGTGACAGCACAGAGCCTTGGGGGACTCCGGCTTCCATCGGTCGATACGTGGACACACAGTCCCTGATCTTCACTCGCATATGTCTCCCGTGCAGGTATGATCTAACTAGTTTGACGAGTGCAATGGGATAACCCATACTCATCATTTTAGCTAGTAGACCATCGTGCCAGACCCTGTCGAAAGCCTTCGCAACGTCCAGGAGTAGTGCCGCCGTGACCTGTCTTTGGTTGAAACCTTTGGTGACTTCTTCGGTGATCCTGAGCACTTGGAGTTCCGTACTATGTCCTGTCCTGTACGCGAACTGTTCATCGGTTTCCTCTTCTATTCTTCTCAAGATGACACGCTCGGCTACCTTGCTCACAGCTGAGAGTAGGCTGATGGGCATGTAAGAGGAGGGAAAGAGTAGTTCCTTACCTGGCTTCGGGATGACTATGACGTCGGCCTTCTTCCACCTGTCCGGAAAGTATCTGAGCCTCAAGATCCCGTTGATGATATTCACCAGGGCTGCCACCCCTTTGCTGGGTAGCTTCTTGAGGGCGATGTTTCCGATCTTGTCACATCCAGGAGCTTTCCTCAGCTTTAAGCTCCTTAGAATCTCCTTGACCTCCTCTGGAGTGGTCGGACGGATGTGATCATCGTCTGGCAGGCGGAGCATCCGACGCACTATGCGTTCCACGTCATCAACCCAGTCCTCGTCCTCATCATCGAGTTGGTTTTCCCTACACTGCAGTTCCAAGCTGTCCGCGAATGCTTCGGCTTTTTCCTGGCAAGTGTAGACAATCCCATTCTCTCCGTGGATTGGGGACATTGGTTTCGGCCTGTTCCGCAGAGCACGCTGGGTGTTCCAGATGCTCCTGTCCTGTGGGTCCAGTGATTCCAGGTGACGCTGCCATCCTTCTTGACGGTGTTCCTGGAGGGCAGCTTTGACTCTCCTGTTCAGCGTGTTATACGCGTGCCTGTCCTCAGGGAGTCTAGTCCTTTGGGCCCTTTTCTTCGTCCTTCGTCTGTCCCGAATCAGCTGCCTGAGGTCCTCCGTGAGGTTTGCCATCGGCATTGGTGCCCTTCTGGTCTCTGTCTCTGTAGTGCTTTCCTCCATCGCTTCCTGGATCTGGTTTTCCAGGGAGGTGATGGCCCTCTCCACATCTTCCTCGGATTCAATCCTGGGAATATGTGCAATGTTCCCTTTGCAGTGCTGCACGGAACAATTCCCAGTCTGTCCTCCTTTTGACGAAGGTCCCAGTGTCCACATCATCCTTCTCTCCTAGGTCCAAGAAGATCGGATTATGCTCGGTGGAACCTTCCGTCCTGGTAGAGATTTCCGCATTGAGGGTCATCTCCTTCATTATAGCGATGTCCAGCACATCCGGTCGGTGGATCCCATTGTCGTGCGTCGGCTCGTCCGGTCCTAGTGCCTGCATGTTGCCAGCGTGTCGTCCCAGGAACCTCAGCAGATCTCGTCCTAGAGTGTTGGTGACTCTGCTGTTCCATTCCTGTGACTTGGCGTTCAGGTCCCCTATGGCAAGCACCTGAGCCCGGCCCTGGAATATTGCATCCAGGTCTGTGTCCAGGATCCGGCATCGGGGCGGCTGATAACAGGATACCACTTGAATGTCGCCATTTCGTGCCGTTGACACTACTACGGCGGTGGCTTCCAGGTTTTCCATGTCCGGCAGCACGATTGGATAGTGGTCGATCGACTTCTTTACCAGCAGGGCTACTCCTCTCATCGGCCTTGGTCCAGCGTAGTCCTTCCTGTAGACATGGTAGCCAGGGAAGTTGGCTGGCTTCAGCGGCGTCATCTTCGTTTCCTGTAGTGCCAACACGTCTATGTCGTACCGGGCTAGGAGTTCCTCCACTTCAAGTTTTCTTCCTTGTAGCCCGTTAACGTTCCATGAGGCGATCTGCAGGAAGTTCGGCTTCACCTGAAAAGACATTACAGATTAGTAAAGCCTGGCATCTGTGCAAAAAATGCGCTCATTGCTGAGCACATTTGCTGCATCTGTTTGAGCACCGCGGTGAGGTTTTGGGCCTCCACGGGTGCTCGTTGTTGCCTGGCAGGGCCGGCGCTCGGCCCTGCGTTACCTTGAGCTACCCTTGCGTAGCTCAGCCCGCTGGTGGCGGGTCTTTTGGCCTCCCTCGGTGGCTGTTGGGTCTTTGGAGCCTGCTTCTGGGGGGCCTGCGGGCTTCTTGGGATATTTGGGACATCCTTTATAGCTGGCCGGGTGCGCTCCCTGGCAGTTTGCGCACCTCGCTGGGACGTCCTGCTTCTTTTTGCAGTCCGCTGTCCGATGGGCCTCGCCGCACTTCACGCATTTGGCCTGTGCGGTGCACCTACCCTGTGCGTGGCCGAAACGCTGGCATCTGTGGCACTGGGTGACGCTCTGTTGCGCCCTTTGTCTTTCTGTGCGGACTACTAGGTAGCAGCACCTCGTTACCTCCAGGATCTTCTCCTGGTCCAGTGGCAGTTGGACCAATACCAGTGGGATCTCCATCTTGGTCCTCCTCGACGTCATCCGCTGGACAGAGATCGGCGAGAAGCCCTT